ACTTGAATGAGATTAAAAAATGATTAATATATTTGAGATGTGGTTAAATAATACAATAGATAATATTATGAAAAAAATAATGCACTTTTTTTAGAGTTTCATCCGGTAGATTCCGTCTTCATCTACCAAAATTTATCGCTACTTCCACTTTGACCTTGGTTCGTATTACCATCGAAGACACCTGAGTCCATTCTTGAATTGATTTCATTGTTAACATATTGGTTAACGCCAGTTTCCATAATACGACCAATTTCACCTATAATATGACAAGATATTGAATTCTGTGTTTCTTCCTTTCTCAAGCACTTTTAGAATTCAACAAAACACTTACCATTTTTATCTGGTATAAAATCATCTACGACACGATCGGCTGTATTGTCCATAAATCCACCTTCAAGATCTTTAATTAAACCGGCCATTTCTGTTTATCTCACGATGTATTGAATATACTTGTATGCAAATTGTTTCACTAGTAACCGTTACTGTTGTCGTTTTCTTCTTTCTGTTATTCTAAAATCATCGTATAAGTGCGCAGGTATATAAATAGAAGGAAAAAAGAAAAAGATTGTACTTTTCTTTTTCTTTTTTTAATCATACAAACGGCAGACTAAAAGGACGTTAGTAGTAAAGTGCATTCGTGTCACGACTTCCCTCGATTGAAAAGGCGGAGATGATTAAAATTAAAATGCGTTTCTTTGCTTGCAAAAGTTGATAAATTCTTGTCTCGAGAAAATTTAAACAAAATGATTAGGAGAAAAACAATTCATAAAGCTTATTTTTAATGTTGAATTGAATTGCGTATGAAAACTCAACTGATTCTTTGCTAACTGTTGGTATTGATTAGTAGTGCTTTAAGGCACAGAAATTTCAATTTACTATAAATACTTTCTTAGTGCTCGTTTTTTTCATGCTTCTAAATCAGTGATTCACATATCTCAGTACTTCAGTATTATATAAGTGTGTATGCATATAACTGACGAAAGAAATAAAAGTATTACCTACACCAACCGTTTGTTAATATTTCTTTCAAAGCCTTTTCGATCTATGTATTTTCTATAATCTCTGGTAATTTATACTTTCGTAGTATTTCATTTCGTTCGAAAGCGATCCATTGAACTTATCAATTTTTATTCGAATGACATTATAAAGTTAACAACGTCATCATATTATTTTTGGCTTGAGCTAGCATTCACACGTGAAAAGTGAAAAAATAGCTAATTTTTTTTTAAAGTTATTTCTTTTACTAGCTAAATATTTCTACATAGTTTGCTCAGCTGAGTAGTGAGAGCAATTGATAAGAATTCTGTTTTCATTTCCTCAGATTTTTTATGGTAATCGTTTTAGCAAGACAATTGTTCATCTTGTTTTTAATTGTCGTATTCGTTACTCTTCGAAATAATACTTCAATTAGTCTCAAAAAATGTATTGGAAAAAACAAAAAATACACGGAAAAATATAAATGGGGTCAGACAAAAAATTATAATAAACAGAGTTTCATATATTCATTTCTGTTTTTTGACTATTGTTATTAGTCTTCTTCTCGTCGTTGGTGATGATGACGATGATGTTCAGGACGTGGTTCCTCATTACCATTACCCCATTGTTGTTGCTGTCCTTGACCACCACCATAGTTCTGTTGATCATTGTCACCGCCCCATTGTCGTTGCTGACCTTGGCCGCCACTATAATTCTGTTGATCATTGCCATCGCCCCATTGCTGTTGTTGTCCTTGACCGCCACCATAATTCTGTTGATCATAACCTCTTGATCCTTGATTTCCATAATTTTGTCCATCATATCCCTGATTATTATCATTAAATTGGTCTTGTTGATAGTTGCCACTATTATTTCCACCATATCCTTGATTTTGTCCTTGAGAGCCATTGGGATTAAACACACCTCCAGATCCGTATTTCTCATCCGCTAATTGCTGAGCTTGCTGTATTGCCATACGTTTCGCTTTTTCTCTATCCAAATAATCCAAACCTTTTGTTTCAAATAATTTATCAACTTCAGCAGCAGCTAAACCAGCTAATATTTCTTTCATCATAGGATGAGATACTTGTTCACCTGAATTTCGAATACGGTCTTCATATGCTTTGATAGCTAGAAGTATAGAAACAGAAATGTTTTATGAAATTCTTTGAATATAATTAAGTTAATAAGACGTTGCAACTACGCATTTAAAAAAACGATTGAAATTCTACTATTGCGTCTATACTAAGCTGTTCTAAGAAGGCTTTGTGAATCGATATGAAGAGAAAAAAAATTATATAAACCTGCAAAACCAGCTGCACCAGCTATAGCTTCATGTGTAAATGATCCTTGATTTTGTTGTTGATCATCGTAAGAGTTATCTTGATTACCACCGTATACTTGATTATGTGCATTCTTCGCTTGATCATGATTGAAAAGATTTTTAAAGAAATCCATATCTGTATATGTTAAACTAGTACGTTTACGTTTAATATATGTTCTACGTTGAAATAATATGTTAATGTAGGTAGCAAATAAAAGAAAGAAGTATTTATATTAAAAAAAATAAGAACGCACCAGAGTGAATCACCCTATAACTATTGCCGTTTCTTTTCTTCGTAGTTAACGAGAGGTCTCGTTAAAAAAAATAAAGAAATAATAAGGAGCCGAAAAAGAAATGTTTTTCTTCGTTATTCATCGATCAACTAAGAGTAAAAATAGAAAAAGGCATAAGCAATATTTTAAAAAATTGTTTTTTTCTATTTGGTGTAGAACTGTTTGTTCAAGGACAACAACTATTTTGAGGGTGTAGATGTATGAATATAAGAGAATTAATCATTGTAGATTATTCACACCCTCAAGATGGCACCATAGAATTTTTGAAAAATATTTGCCATTTCATCGTCACCTTCGTACTTTAAAAGTGCAAGCCTCTGCAAGTTTATATTTCTTGTATTACAGAACAAAAATTAACAGAGGGAATCGAAAAAAATTGAACTTTTCATTATGTCTGGACCATCCGTTATTTTATAATTGATTTTTAGAAATAAAAAAAATATTGGCTTGAGGGTATGGGTGTGGGCGTATCATATATACGACACCTACATTTAAATATTTATTATTACATAATCAACATCAATTATTTAGAATTGTTAACAATAGATTATAATAGTTAAAAAGGGTGTAGATATGATGTTGGACGAGTGTCGAAACAAATAGAAACCTCAATAAATTGAACAAATAAATCTGATATTAATTAAATTGTTTTTTGGTTCAAGAAATTCTTTGTTTAGAAGAAAAATACGAAAGAATTTCTGTGTAAAGATTACTTTTATTTCATGATCAGGAGATGTGTGAGGAGAAGCTTTTAGTGCTTTTCCATCAACAACAGACGCAACAAATCTTATCTCAGCAAATAGAAATAACTTTAACTGATGTCAATACATTCATGTTCGCTAATACTTTTTCAAATAAACTTATTCTCAGAAATAGGAAAAAAAACATAATCAAAAATTGTTACATTATTTTTGATCTCATCTCTTCTTGTTTTTTATTTGTCTTCTTCTTTTGAAAAATTGTCACGTAGGATAAAAAACTCTCAAATACCTTCTTATCTTTATTCAATAGTTTTAAAAACAGATGGAATACATTAAGAAATATTTTTTCTGGAAAACAATCATTTTGCTTCAGTATCATTCAAGAAAAGATTAATGAAGTTTATGGTTAGTTACAAAAGCAATGAATATTCGTTAGAGAATTCTATATGAATTGATTTGTTTCTTTTTTAATATTTTGTCGAAGTGAATGAATAAAAACTGTATTGGACAATTTATTTTTCCAAAAACAAAATCGTAAGTATTTGATCTACTTTATTCGAAATACATCTATCATTTTGCGTCTCTATTTGACTCGAAAAAAAGATTAATTTTAATTCTCGTTGCTACTCTTATTTTAATAACTATTATACCTTGATATTTCACAAAATAGTAACATTTTGGTGAGAAACCTGTAATCAAAAGACCATAGTCTATGCATACACGTGCTATTTTAATGACTACCGGTGACATTTGCCAGTGTACTATTGACAGGAACAAAAATATATTCTGAATAGAATTCCTTTTTTATTTCGTAGAACATAATTAGTAATATCTATTATTGTGATATGAAAAGCATTTAATCGATCAGTTTTTCGCCTGTATAACGATTATACTTTCAACGAAAAACATCATTTTTTACATTTTACATATCACAATAATGTATATTTTCTTACAAACAAAAAAAATGACTTTATTGACATTGTTGAAGAACTTGATCGAGTGCATTCTTAATCAATTCCAATGGATATGAACCTTCGATTGGTTGAGCGATGTAACTAAACTTCATCGTTCCATCTATCACATAAAATCGAATTGGCCATGGATTATATACTTGACTAAATGGATTATTTCGAGATACAGGATCTATTAGTAATGGTAGACGATATTCTGTTGCTTGAATAAAATCATTTGCTATATTAATTCGATCAACATCTGTTTTCGGTTGTACATAACATATTCGACTACCTATTGGCCTATTATACAAACAAGTATTCATCTCGAGAGAAAATATCTTCCTTCTTAACTTACCATTCGTCAGCGGCATGCGCTTCTTCTATATAAATAGTTATCATATCTGCACGATCTTGGTACATATCCATTAGCTGATTTAGTTGTGGTACAAGACCACGGAATGGTGGTCATGTATATGAGCCAGCAATGATTAATAATGGTCGATTTGAATGACAATAAGATAATAATGAAACAAATTTATTATTTAGATCTAATAATTCAATATCAATAGCATGACAACCAATTTCAAGATTTCCTTTTCGTGCACGATTATGTCGAACATAGAGTGATAAATTATGAAATTCATCATTATTATATAATTGATGAGCACTTCGTAATATACTAAACAAATAAAAATCTATCGTTCAAAATCAATCCGATAACAAGAATAAAATGTAATAGTTACCGCAAACCATGTTGAATTTCATCTTCTGTAGCATCTTGACCAATAGTCTCTTTAATAAGTTCTGTTTGTAAATGAGCAATAATATCCATCCAATCAATATCATTTCGATCTTCAATACTTGACAATAACTGTTGAGTTTCTGGACTAAGTCTTAGTTGTTCTTCTTTAATAAGTAAATTTTTAAGTACATCATGTTCTAATATTCGATATACTCGTAATTGATGTTGAATAGTTGATTGTCATTGATCATTTGAAACTTCTTCGTCACTATCATTATCATCGTCATGATCTTCATTATCAACAGTTATAGGAAGTATGATATTTTTCAAATTTGGAACATCATTGGATATTGAATATTCGCTGATTTTACGATATAAATTTGAAAGAACAGTTTGTGCTTGTAAAACAGCGTTTTGTAATTCGACAGGTGATAAATTACTAGTATCGTTCAAATCTTTAAACTCAAATTTGAGAACTGTTTTAATAGCTTCAGCACCATCATTTGGTAAGTAAGTAAAATCTTGTCGACCACTAGTAAAATGATACATTCCACCACGTAAACGAAGTACCATATGAATTGTAGATTCTTTCTGTATATTATAGTCCAATAGAGTTCTACCATCTTCTAGTTGTTTTCCAGCAAATATCAAACGCTGAAGATCAGGAGTAATACCTTCCATATCTTGTATCAATTCTTTGACAGTAGTCATAGGCATTTCTGAATGCACTTCTAAAGTAATCATTTTACCTGTAAGAGTTCTCACAAATATTTGAAAAATAGGTATTGAATCAGCAGTTACAATCTGCAAGAAAGAACAAAGTTATGTAAAGCTAGAGGGAAAAAAACATTTTAATTTACCTTTGCTTTGATAAGTTTGGCCATGATGATAGAATTCTCTTGATACAATTGTGATGAAAGAATTGTATCATCAAATTTGAGTATTTTACCTTCATTCCAATTTTCTTCACTCGGTCGTGTATTTTGATTTATCGTTAATGATTTTAGTTCTATATCTGTAATTCCTGATCGTTTTTTCAGATGCATTGTGATCTTGTCCATTTTATCCAAGAGAAGAACTGGTAGTATCAATTGCTGAGATAATAAACTTTCATGATTTCCCCTCCAGAGAGTTACATCACCATATGTAATAAATTGAGAACCATCTTGAAATTCAGATACGGTTGATTTCAGTTCGCAATCACTCATAGGCACGATATTGTTTTGATTCATCTTTCCAAATTTGACCCACTGTTGTAAATATTTTGGTATATATTCTTTCTTGTATTTTCTGAAGATTGTGCTGAGCTGCTCATGATCCATATATTTGTGGACTGTGGAATTTCCATATGGATCAACAAATGTTAATGATCGTGATTTCAATTCCTTGTCAATTTTCCGTTGATCATCAAGAAATTTTGAAATCTCAATCATTTGATTTTGAACTGCTTGTATATGAAGAATTAAATCTTCATAAACAAATGAAGTTATCCCTGTGGGATTAACAGTAGCAGTTAATGAGTTCGACATCTAGAACCAACAATTAAATATGATTGCTGATAACATGTAGATATTATAAAATAAGTTATCGATTTCAACTTTGATTCGACATGAATCATCCGACTGCTTTCACAGCTTATGATTACTCACTGTCATAAATAGCTAAGCAAAAATTACCTCAAGCCAAATTACAGCAACTTTCGATGGATTATGTGACTATGAAACTTCATACTTATCTATGCTGAAAGTTAGGAGAAAATCAAAGAAGAGAAATATTAAATCCTACCGTTGCTTAATGTCGTTCGTGTTTTAAATAAATGACGAAAGTAAGTGCTTGCATCGACATACGCAATAACATCGTCACCGTGTGTAATATTCCAACGAAAGAATGAGTATATATGAGGTAATTTTTTTTTCTATGCTTTCTGTGTATGACTCATTCGATACACACAAAAAATATATTTTGGTATTTTTAAACGGTAGAAAAGAATGTATTATGTTTACTCGGAAATTTTTTTTGTTGAAGTAGAAAAAATTGTAAAAAGCTTTGTGCATCATACTTCACGTTTTTTTCAAAAGTACAGCACAAATTACATGTAATTCTATCGTTAAGCGGACAGTCTTTGGTTGTGAGTAACTTTTGACAGGAACAAGATAGCATAGAAAAGGAGCCGCATCGTCACATAGTGCGGTATCCACTCATTGTTTACATGATATTTGTTATTCTAGGTCATCTTTCAGAGCAGTTCCTAACTATCAGAGTATATCTGTGAAGAGTATGAGTTTAATCTTTTTGTTAGATCAGGTATGTGTATAAAAAATTGTATTTGTGCAACATTCTACAATAAAATGCATGTTCTATTACGCTATTTTAGATTTAGTGGAGACACGTTCGATTATCTGTTCAACTTTGATTATGGTAGGATGAGTAGGATATAGTGCATGACGAAAGATAGTAATTGCTTTTTCAAGATATGAAAGTGCTTGTTGCCATTGATCTTGACTCTCGTAAACGAGACCCAAATTGTAATGTGTCATTGCAATGTCAGGATGTTGAGGAGGAAGACATTTTTCCTTAATTTTTAATGATATATTTAAATGTTCGAATGCAAGATCGTACTGTTCGAGAATATAGTGCGTGAGACCAATGTTATTGTGCAGATCACCCATTTGAGGATGATTGGTAGGAAGATGCTTCTGATAAATAATTAACGCTTTTTGCAGACAATCAAGTGCTTCCAACTTTCTGTCATATATTTGATAAATGCCAGCCATATTACTTAAACATTGCCCTATATTTGGATGATCTTCGCCTAATGTTTCTCTCCAGATGTTGAATGCTTTCACGAACGATTCAAGCGCCTGCTCATAATCACCCATTTTTGCGGCAACAGCAGCAATACTGTTATGACTAGTACCAATTCTTGAATCGACTGGACTCAATGTACGTATCATTGTCTCGAGTGCTTTGTGATGCCAACTGAGACTTGTCTCATAATCACCTTTATCATCAAATAAATTACCGAGATTATGGTAACATGCGCCAATATCTTCGTGATCAGATGGTATTTCTTTGAGTAGACGACGATAATATTTCTCTGCATCATCGTATTTACCCATTCTCGTCAGTATTATACCTACTGAAAGAAGAGTTGTTTCTCCATTACCATATTCATCCTTCATGTGATCAAAAACGGCTTGTAGATCAGGATCACTATTGCTGCATAATGCCAATCGAAGGATCCAAATTCCACGATCATTATGCTCGATGCTGATTAGACGAAAAACGGATCCTAACATCAACAACACTTCATCTTCACCAGGAAAATAACTAAGCGAGGTGATATTAGCGAATGGTCTAGCACCCTCAGATCGAGGATCGATATCGATTTCAAATAAGACTCGCTGGATATTATTTGATACAGTTGAAGAGTACAGAAAAGAAAGAGCCAATCGACGATCAATACTAGTCGAGAGAAACGAATTCATTGAAATTAATTGTCCAACTGAATCCTCAAGTACCTCCACTTCTTCATTTGACATAAGTTGACCTCGAAAAACACGCATAGATGATGAGCATCGATGCTCTTCGAGTTGTTTTTCAATGTCACGAATAAAGAAACGAAAGATAAACAACGAGTCAATATTCTGCACACGAAGAGCCTTGTTCAATTGTCTATATAAGAATGATTCACGTGTATACCACCACAAAGCTCGATCAGGTGAATAGTTTTCTTGAAACTCATGGAGGATAGCCAGTTCGGCTTTATTATCTTTGAACTGCTTTTCCGACAATGAAATAAGTTCATCCTTGTCGGTTGGAATTGCTTTCATTCGGAGCAGACAGTCAATAAGTAATTGTGAATGTACGAACTGACCATTGAGTCCAGTAGTCGACTGTTCAGAAGTAGAGCTCATGTTGAAGATATTGAAGACAAGTGGTTCATCAACTTTCTTAATACCTCGTCGACTGTGATCCATTCGAATTTGTGCAATGAGGACATCGAGCTCTTTGATTACACCTTTTATCTACAATACATGATCTCCAGTTTTAAAAAATGTGAAGACTCGAACAAAAGAATTTGTTTACTTTGACATAATCTTTGGTCCATTCTTCTTTTGCTTCTTGGTTCGTGTCATACAAGTAGATTGAAGATACTTGTTGTAGTTGGTGAATACGTGGAACAATTTCTTGACCTAGATTGTCACTTACAATTAAAACAACTCGATGATCGACAGGCACAAATCGAATATAAAGCTCGCATTTATTAATATCGTCGAATGTCTGAGGATTTCTAATGCATTTTCTAAGTTGCTGTTGAGCATCAATATTCATCTTTAAGTTATTGACATTAGCATCGAGCCAAACCAAAAAGAAATCGTCAAGATTCTTCTCTTCTGATGTCATTGTTGAAACAATTTTGTTTTCCTACTAGTGACTATATGATGGTTGTTATAAACTCGGAATGAGAATAAAATTCGCATGCAATCATACTAGAAGCTTCTCTTCTAATTTTTTTTCTTTCTCCAATGCAATGACACTTGTAAATAATAGAAAAATAAAAAAAGTTCTGTTGTCACGGCTTCTGTATGACGGCAAAACGATGACGCACATAAAATTATGAAGAAAAGAAATATCGGTTAAGTTTTCTCCTTGAAAACAGTTTACAACGAGCGTCAAAATTGTAGATGGCAACTAAATAAAAGCGTGGAGGTGCGCATTCGGCTCATTAATATTTCTTTTAGCTAATCTCATGAAATCATATATCATTGAATGAAAGAAAATCAATATATTAAAACAATTAAATCATAATTTTTCAGAAAAATATAATCCCACCAGTCGATTGTTGTACCATATACAATAGGTAATATTTTTTAATTTCAAGATTTTTGTGTTCATTCTTCATACAACATATTATGCAAATTCATCATATATATCTTTAGAAAGCAACAACTGGATATGGTATTTTAATACTTTAAAAGAATATCTCTTAAACTTGACGTTCAATCCGAACTAGCAAGCTTGTTTACTCAAATGAAATTCTATGCAGTATATTTCGTATTATTAAAAAGGCTTCAGTTCCGAAAATAGTGTACTAGAAATAATCTCAAAAGCAATTAATAAATTCATATTTTATGAATAATATTATAAATTTTTTGAAATAAAACAGTGCTTGTATAACTATTAAAGACGCTTTTGGTTTTTGTGTGTAAACAATTGTATGTTGTCAACGACTCAGTTTCAAGTATACTACACAAGAATTTAATTAAATTGGTCTTTTCGATCTATAAACTCATTTTTATTAGTCCTTTTTACTTTGATTCGATTAAATTCAGCTCTAGGTCTTTATTGTATTATTATGTTGATGTATGACACCGTCGCTAGCGCATCTTATTCTACTATCTATTTTAAGACAGAAGAAATGATATTACCATTAGTTAAAAGCAGAAAATTTTAATATTCATTTTCTTTCAATCCTTCGACTCCCGGCGACGTAAAAAGACATCCGAGTGTATTTATTAGATGAACATCTCAGTAGTGTATTTTTTAACAGTCTAAAAGAGTTTCATATCGTTTTCTTAGTAGTGTGTCGTGTAAGACTCATACCGTATCGCTTAATAAGGACAAAAAACTTTTGTCAACGGTAAATACATATACCAATACAGTCTTTATCCAATAAAGACATTTCTACACATATATGTGTCGCCGGAAGCTAAAGGATTATATAAAATGAACATGAATCGGTAAAGTAAAAAAAAGTGTGCAGATGAAAGTTTTATCAAAGTCAGATTCTTGTAATAATAAATTATATTACAGCTTTTATATGTAATTATTTTATTTTCTTCGAAACTGTTATATTTGCGGAAAAAAATGGCGAACAACACATCATCGTCGTCAATGATCAGCTTTGAAACACCTCTAACGCGTACTATCAAACTGGTATTGTTCTCAGTTTTATTGGGACCATCACTTCTGTGTTCACTTCATGTAATCACGTGTTTTTTTTATGAACATAAGCTACGTCGCCGTGCCAATCATGTAATGATCGCTATTATTTTAATTGATTTAGGTGAACTAATGTGTGATCTTGTTCCCATTTCGCTCAACTATTTTTATACAGGACATGTTTATAATTTATCGATTTGTCTCTATTGGGTTACAGGAAATTATACGTTGCAAGGTATTTCAAGTTGGTTAATGGCATGGGCATCTATCGATCGGTATCTTCTAATATTTTTTTATCGTTTGCGAAGTACGTTTCTTAGACATGATATTCAGATCATAGGTGTGTGTGTTTTTGTTATTGTTTGGTATATCACTCTTACTTTCACTCATCCATGCAGTGAAGATTGGTTTGATGGTACTCAATTTCTATGTGGTGGACCATGCTTTAATAATGATACTGTTATAGTTACTATCGATTGGATTCTTATTGTACTCTTGCCAACATTATTGATCGTTATATTCAATTTACTTCTTCTCGGAAGAGTCATCTTCCAAAAATGTCGACGACGACTTGGTGTTGACAGAAGATCATTTGTGTGGCGTAAAAATCGAAAGTTGATTATTCAACTTCTTGCAATCGTTTTCATCTATTTGATTACACAACTTCCTTTATCTATTTTCTCACTTATACGTCTCTTTGGTCCTACTGATTTTCTCATTGCTATTTCACTTATTTGGCTTTTCTATACACCATATCTTATTTATATTATCACACCTTTTGCTTATATAGCAACAACAAAAGAGTGCCAAAAGCGAGTCTGTCGTTGTCGAAATTATATTCACCCATTAGCATTGACAGGTGACCATCGATTGAAACAACGTACTACAGCAGTTTAGTTAAACAAGGGTTTAATCATACCCACACCTTTAAGTTTTGCGTTAAACTGCTGAATATTCATCATAGTTACACTTGTCTTTTATCAAAAAAAAAAATGTATTTATGATTGAAATTGTCTTCTCAATCGTTCAAAGAATTGCTTGAATAGTTTTGTGTATGTCTCTGATGGTAATATAAAAATAGCAAAAATGACGATCGATGGAATAAATGGTAGAAAATAACCGATCAAGTATAACCAAGAATCGCCAGTCGATTTCATACATTTGAAAGTAAATGACATAACAAGACGAGGAAACGTACAAATAACTAAAATACAAGAACTTATTAATAATTGTTTATGTCGATTCAATTCCTGAAAAAAATGTTGTCTATAAGTGTGATTTTTCTGTGCAGTAAACCGTTGCTGAGCTATTAGAACGATCATAAGCCAAATAGATATCAGATTAGAGGCGAACGGAATAATTAGATGGAAAATATTTATAATTCGATTATAGAGTTTGAAAGTTGGCGAATATTCAACAATACACCAAATACGTTGTTCTCCTTTATCTTCTATGACTTGACGATGAATTGGATCGTGAACAGCAGTACCAATAATGAATATATAAATAAGACAAACAGTCCATTTGGCAGTATACCTACTTTTCAATTTGTTAAATGTAAGTCCCTTCCAGGTTATCAGAGCTCTTTCTATAGCCACACAAGCATAGAGCCAATCGACAATATTCGGTAAAAATTTCAGAGAGAAATCAACGGATATGCAGTTAATATAAATGACAGACTGATTAGTAATCAAGGCCATTTGCGATAAGACGAGTAGCATGAATTTTAATAGAAACACAACCATTGTAAGAATAGAAGTGATTGAAGCAGTAAAAAGATAAATATCACAACCAAATTGAAAATTTTTTGGTTGAAATACAATAATTGATAAACTTGAACTTATTATTCCTACTATAAACATAATTATCGTAATAGCAAAGCTAATTTTTAGTAGTAGAGGTTGACGAAAAAATGTCAAATACGAATGAATATGATAACTAAGAATAGAATCTAGAGAAGAATCAAATCCCGTATTGCTTAATTGACAATAGGTTCCATAAGAACATTCATCACAAACACATATGGATGTTGTCGGACACGATGGATGATCTTGAAAACATTGACCATTATTCTTACAATAATTCACACCTTGACAATTGTATGTCATATTATGTTCAAAATCAAAACAAATAGCATAATGATCAAGATTACATAAACACATATATTCTTCATCATAAAAACATTTTGATGTTGTATTTACCTGACATGGTAGATGATAATATTTAATACGTTGAAGTCGATGATAATCTAGAATAGTTTGATTGAATAATACTTGAATGGGTAGACAGCGATGAGAGAGAAGGACTTGCGTTGTAATAATCCTTGATGGTAAATATTTCTCTTGAAGTACAGTAAGATAATAATTTTTTGCGAATTCAATGAAAAGAATATGAAATGGCATCGAACGATATAATGTCACAGAATTTTCATTGTAACGAGGTTTTATAAAGACTGTTGTACGAATATGAAAATCATCTTCTATTGTGCTAATGAAATGCCCAAAAAATGTTCCTGTAATCAATGTATCATCAAACGATATGTCAATTTTAGTATCAGGAATTTCACATCTCTTTCCAGAATATCTAGTCATGCAGAAACAAGTAAAGTTTTTCTTGGATATTCGATCATCACCAGGTATACACGTTCCACCATGTTTGCATGTATCTAATTGACAAACAGAAGAAGTAAGATAGCATCGTGAACCGAATTGATATAATGAACAAAGACAAATAGATTGATTACCGATTGTACCAATACATTTAGAGTTCTGAGCGCAACTACAATGATAGTTTCTTTCACAGAAATTACCCCACCAACCTTCGAAACATCGACAAAATTCCTCATCTGTATTTTCGTATTTCATACATTCACCATAGTGACCACAATTTAATGCACAATTCGTAGGACTTTTTATTCTTTGTTCTTTAATTATAAGACGAGCAATAAAGTGATTCACTGGTAGAAATTGAAATGGGATGGATAAATGCCAGCTTGTATAATAAGCTAGCTTGTATTTGTTATAAGCATGAATAACAACACTATAATTTTTACTTGAATTCTTTGGTCGAGTTGCGTACGTTAGATATATATGAAATTTGACGCCACAATCTTGTGCAGGTATATAAAGACTATAATCATAAGACTGAATTACGTAGTCATCGTCTATTAACATAATTATCAAATAAAAAGGAGTACGCCAGCTGGGTTCACTCTGTGTATTGAACTGTAATTTCAGACTGACACGTTGATTTTGATATTGGCAACGATCACCATAATACGGAGGTGGACATAAGCAGCGACGTTGTTCAAGTTCTCCAGTGAAGATAACTATCCCTCGATTACAAAACCATGCTCGATGAGTATAATGAAGCAAACTATTCGAAGAAAGTAGTGTGTGTTCTTCATGTGAAATATTTCCGTTTGATTGTGAGTCATCTTGTGTAGAAGATGGAAAGTTCTCAGTGCGAGTCAATCTTAAATAAAGTTTGCTGTTAGAAAAATTGTAGTATACCATGAAATCGTGGTCGTCAAGACTACAAAATATTTTCTCAGCTACATTGTGTGTTAAGTCCCAATTTTCATTGCATATGCTATGAGATATTAGAGGCTTTTTGTGAGCTTCTGCACAGACAATCGGCTCCTCTTCATGGCACCGCTCATCATCAGTTAAATCATCAATCAAAGTAGGATGGCATAATGTTATAGCTTCAATACAACGAAATGTTTTGTTGTAACATCGATAGCGTCTGCCCAAGTCGTCAGGAAACATATTTCGGCAATAGTGTCGTTCATCTGAACCACCTAGACAGTGTATTATCCCATCACCAGCAAGTTCTAGTGGCAAACATCCAATAGACATATTGAATGGTGAGACACAAGGATGATAAAACGGTTTACACAAAGATAATGAACAATTAGCTTCATCCATACCATTGGGACAATTCCAAAAACCGTCACAGCGTGTGTATGGGTTATCACATGGAAAGTGTGATCCACAGTCCGTTTCATCTGTTTGTTGACGATCGCCTATAGTTAAAGGATCCATATCTATACGTCCATCGCATAGCATCGGAAATGGTGGTAACAAATCATACCCTATATCGTGCGCAAGGTTTCTTTCATCTTCACCATCTGGACAATTAGATTCGTCATTGTGTAATAGTAAAGGTGAGATACAAGTACTCTGATCAGAAGAACATCGAAATCGATATGTGTCATTCAGTGAGCATGTGCCATTAAACTCTTCATCACTATTATCAAAACAATTTTTAACACCGTCTAATAAACGATGTTTTGATATACATTTAGGTGAGTGAGGGCATTGAAAAAGGCCTGTGCAATTGGATACAATCGTTGTCGCACATCGTCGAAATATCAAATAGATATCTTCAATTAGTATGCCCCATTGCAACACACGGTCATGGCGCAGATCTGACTTGAATTCGGAATAGTAACGGCAGGTGTAACCGTTGTAATGCACTGTTGCATTTAATATTGAACCGCATAACTGTTCGTCGTAGCATATAAGAAATGGGTTTAGTACAGAACCCATATCATAATATGAAGTTTCATTTATTGCATATATAAAATACACGTGTTCGAAAGCGACAGGATTCAGAGGAAAAACGAATGGAGAGGATGGACAACTTGCATTTTTCAAAATTCTTTGGCAATTACGATTATGATCTATGAAAAGGTAGGATTGTGTGAGACAAGTCATCATAAGGACACACGTATGAGGCAAATGAGAATTTCTGTCATCGGCAAGTAGATTTCGGTTTTCCAGGTTAAATCGACCATTCTTGCAGTCGTTATACAAAGCTTCTAGGATTCCTACGCAATCACCGTCACCACAAGTAAATTCATCTTCATTCGAACAGACATGTTCTTCGCAACGAAAAGCTGGATCACCGTCGCACCATTCATCTTCAAAACTAAGCTTTAAATCTGTCCAATCAGAGCAATCAGGATTTAGTGCATCGTCGTCATCGTAAAAGTCATCTAGTATACACTCACCATTATGACATCGATAATAACCTTCCGCACATTCACTTGCCTCTCGCTCCAAACATTGTTGTGGTTCATCAGCTCCGTCAGCACAATCTCTTTTTCCGTCACAGATTTCACGCCAATCAAGACATAATGAACTCGAACTACGAATACACTGTATATATATGTAACAGGTACCGTTAGTTAAAATATTTTCTTTAGAATCATAACGTTTTCCAATAAAAATGTGTCGCACTAGCTCAGCGAAAGTCAAATCGTTGTCATACAATGTATATTCACACCGAGAGCCAAACCATCCCTTCGTACAGTTGTAGAAAACTAGTGAAGATGATAACTCGTCTAGATCATTTAAGAATATCTGATAACGTTCGGCTATATCGATTGAAGCCGACCATTCAATTAAATTTTCAGCAGATACTAGTTTCGTTTTTAACTGTGCAAATGTAAAGAAATTATGATAATTCGCCACATTAATATGTGACAATATGTCGAAATAATTATCTTTTAGAATTTCTAAACAATAAGGAATTATCTGATGAGTGGGAATAGATATTACATTATAATCGATAATATCATTGAGCACGTAATAATACAAGCATTGCTGTTGCGGGTTGATTTCGTACAGATTAAATTGTGCAATCGTCGTGTGATCGAACATTCTCGAAATAAATAATGTAATGCTCCAAAAAAGTTCTGTTAAACGTCTCATTATACAGATGTTAAATTTGTTGAATTATTCATTTGAATAAAACTTATTGCCATGCTTTTTTTTAGACACTACTTGGCAGAAGTGTACATCATGCACAATAAACGTGTGAAGTTATGTTTGATCATTTTTTTTTCTTTTTCATGACTTTGTTACACTAAAAACCTACCGGGACGTTTTATTAACTCATGTACTATTTATTTAATATTTAATATTGATTTTCATTAGAAAAAAACAATATGATTATATGATATTATAAGCACAAGTACTGTGCCGATAATAAAATGGTACTATCAAAGTTATCATCTAAAGCTTATTGCATTTAATTGATACTATAACTAACAAAGTGCTATACTGATAAAATATATTAAATATAAAAATACATTGATTAGATCCTATGTAAAAAAAATTAGGGAAATAATTAGATGATAGCCGATTGAAAAATGATTAAAAATAAGTGTGGGTGTGCGTGATTATTTACTCGTCACCCTCACTCCGAAACAGTATTGAGCTTGTATGTTGTCTCGAACAGTATATGAATGATAGCCATTGATCAGATTTTGGCATCATCGACGATTATTTTACATTATACTCATTCTGTAAATTTCAAAGCATTTCATGCCATTCTACCATTTTTTTGCGTGTTTAGTGAACGTGCAAATTATTCAACATGAATATAGTTTTTACATGACAAACACCTTCATCCGGTCTGATAAATACTGAGCAAGTTAGGCATAAAAAAACAATATTGATTATTTATGATAACAATTCTTTTCTATTCAATGGCGCAATGCCAAACAACCGATTGGCTTTAAAATGCTTTCGAACGCACAAACTCAAAGTTATATTCAATTTTACAAATTTTTAATTAAATTCAAGTCAACACACTGATTACGAGAATAATTGAGATTTTATGTGAAAGAAACAAATGTATATATAAATACTTGTTGAATAATTGTAAAGAAGCGGAACACAAACAAAAGGAAAAAGACGGTAATAAGGGTGTGGGAGTGAGTAGGGTATTGTAATTTAACATCCATTCCCACACCCACACACACACTACTATTATTGTACTTGTTTGATTCTTTTCCCTTGAAATAACTACTGTATGAAACAGAAATCAACATAATCATTTGATAAACAACGGAATAATAAGTCTATTTTGTTTCTGTTTTTATTGAGACAAGTATTCGTTTTCTCTCCAATAGTTTGTGAATATGGATGTGAGGCGAGAGTAGTGAGTAATGATGTATTATCAACATCCATATCATCACTCATGTCAACTCGCATTCATTTTTGTCGTTCTTTGTATAAATACGAAATTGCACAATCTTGACAAACATAGATGAAATTTTGTCAATAAACACATAAAAACATATATAAAAAAGATAAAAGTTTCAGCGTAGCACACATACTTTGAAAGTTTTATTTTTAATGAGTGATAAAGCTGTCGCATCTCTAATTACATTACCTGCCGATATAATCTGTCGAATTCTTGATAATCTTACTCGACTACAAATTTTATTATCGGTTCGTGATGTATGTACACAGTTGAATACTATTACAGACACTTATTATCCATATCAGGTAAACCTTCATTTTTAATTCGAAATACGATTCCTATCAGTTTTAATATACAAATCATTGTAATTTTTCCCTTCGAATATATTTCGTAGACATTCACTGAACTCAACCATTGTTATAATCCAGTTGTTGATCGTAAACTGAAGCGTCTAGCAAATGCATTGCAAACGAACAAAGTATGGCGATTGATTGATAATTTAATTCATCTTTATCATTTGCTATAGACACTCAAAGTTCTATATCTTACGGGAAATGACATGCGTGCGGAAGATGCTCAGCATTTTGGCAATGCATTGCAATATAATACAGTCAGTCACATTTTCTGCTTATCAACTTTATTTTTAGAATCATTTTCTCATGATAGACACTTACCACTCTTGATATGCAAAAGAATAGAATCGATGCTCAAGGCGCACAGTATCTATCCAATGCATTACAAATTAACAAAGTAACTGACATTTTCTACTTATTAGTCCTATTTCTACAATCATTTTCTTATAATAGACATTGACAACACTCTATCTTCATAGCAACAGTATCGGCGCTGAAGGGGCACAACATCTTGCCAATGGATTACAAAACAACACAGTAATTGATATGTTCTAGTTGTTCGTCACGTTTCTACAATCCTTTTTTTTATGATAGACACTCACAGCTCTATATCTTTCAGCAAATGGAATCGACGTTGAAGGCGCGCAGTACCTTGCCATTGCATTGCAACGTAACACAGTAGGTAATGTTTTTTTATTCATCCATTCGATTGCTATCGCAACCCTCTAATAAAAGACACTCACAACTCTCGATATTTGCAGCAACAGAATTGGTACTAAAGGCATACAGTATTTAGCCAACGCATTACAAACTAATTCAGTAAGTGATATTGTCTAATTAATAATCGTAATTGTACAGCCATTATCTCACAACAGGCACTCACAATGTTAAATCTTAGCTTGAATAAAATCGATGATCAAGGTGCACAGTATCTAGCCAATGCATTGAAAAAGAACAGAGTGAGTGATATTTTGAACTCATCAGTTGTATTTGAAAAAAAAGATCTTTTCGACTAAAGATACTCACAACTTTGCGTCTTTACACAAATAAAATCGCGGATGAAGGTGCTCAACATCTTGCGGATGCATTACAACATAATAAAGTAAATGACATTGTCTATTTCTCACTCATTATTTTGCAATCGTCATTTTCTTTGCAGACACTCACAAGTCTAGATCTTGCGCAAAATGAAATTAGCGATGAAGGTGCTCAACATCTAGCCAGTGCATTACAAAAGAATACAGTAAGTGGGATTTTTCTACTTGTTAACCCGATTTCGGCAATTATCTGTTTCTTTCAGATACTGTCAAGTTTAGACCTTCGTTGGAATTGTATTCGGTCTAAAAAACAAAAATATTTAAAGAAAACATTCAATACTACTTCTCAAAGAGTTCTAGTTGAAGAATAAATCAGAGTATGGGTAATGCGAATAATAGCTTTGATATTCATACCCATCATCTAAAACAAAATGGAATTTTCTTTTTATTATTGTTTTGTTTTACAATTTTAGTACAAAATGATTTTAGATAATATATGTTAGTTTTAAGTTGTTTTGTGACGCTTTTCAATCGTTATCTGATCTATGTATAAAATTCATTGAAATGTTACATTTACGTCGATAAGAAAGATGTATAAGTCTTGGGATAGTGATTGATAAGTTGATATCTAATAGAAATCTAATGGATTTTATTTTATTTGAAAACTAATCTAACGTATATGCGCGTTATTCACATTCAAAGAATAAGTAACAATAAGCATATCAGATATTCAATTAGAGTCATTCACTAGACGAGTGTACCGTAACATTGTTGTCCGAAACAAGGATCTGCTGGATATTTGTTTGGTAAAATAAGAGTTTCAGTGGTTAAAATCAATGTTGTATTATCAGATCCAGGAAATGTAAATTGTATAAACATACCTTCCCAATGTCCCTCTGGTGGAAAATATGATTTAAACGTAAAGTAAACTGTTTCATCAACTTGTGACTATAGAAAAGAATTAAAAAATATACAAAAATTAAAAAAATTAATCCATACAATCTCAATGTTTTCATTTTCTTGCACCCAAGTAACAGGATTAGGAACAACTTTACCAGTAGTTGGATCTAATACTTTCTGCCGAAAATCTCGTCTATACAAAATATTCAACGATATTATTTTATTTTAACCTATTCAATCTACTTTGTTCCGGTAGTTGTTTGAGCTTTAAAGCCTACAGCACTGATCGGATGAGGATGTCCTTCACCAATATCAACCGCAGCAATAATTTCTGCATACGAATCATATATTGTTCGATTCCATGTTACCGATGGTAGTTTTTGTTGCTTTAGAAATAATTCCTCAAAATTAAATTACAAAATAAAGTATTAACTTACATCATACACACTTAAATAAAAACTTATAAGACTTTCATTGTATCCTGTAATAGAATGTCCAACATTTGGAATTCGTCTACGAATTATATATGTATGTTTACAAAATTTTATTTGCATTCTAACGTTTCTTTTACCTGAGAAAAGAACCACCCGTTGCTTTTTGTAGATCATTCCAAAAAAAATCCTAAATATATATCTCACATGTCAATTTATCATCGATAGTTCAAAATAGATAACCTCGCTATCAGGTAAAAAGAATTCATCATCAGCTGCTTGAATTTGATATATTCGGGTATTACGATAACGATCAAAATAAGCTAAATTATACAAAATATTCATTTTTAAGATTATATAAGTTTTTACAATAGGGATCGACAATATCCGCCATCGCTTGAAAGTAAGGATTATCTAAATACATAGTAATATTTTCAATATAATAATCATCAAAATCATATGTCCATCCGGCAAGAGACTGAAGAAAAAAAGATTCATTTTTATCATAGAATAGATTTCTTACATACTCGATAATGAGATTTCATATTCTTAAAAGAAATAAAATTTTATAATTTCTAATAAATAATTTCTTTTTACCTGTCGAATATTTAACATATCCATAACAATTGGTATAGCACCTATAACACGAGTATTGTCTACAGCAGCTGTTGTCCATGCTATTCAAATAGAAATAAAATCGAAATTAATTTATAATCTATACGAAATAAAACTTACTTGTCCATCCACGCTAGAAAATAACCAATGAAAATCAATATAACAAATATGATTAGATGAAAATGATTTACTTTTGATAAACCAGAAATAATAAAATGTTCAGGTACTGGAATTTCTTGTTGACGAAGAAATGCTTGTGTTGCATCCATTCCACGTACGACTGCCTTTAAAATAGCGATAATTTCATTATGTTATTAATTATAAATAATTATTTAAAATGATTTTTCTTACTTTTGTCATCGGCATACGAAGAAGTATATAAGGGTCACTACCATTTGTTTCAATAAATGTTTTCCAAGTCCATGCAATGATTTCATCTTCAGTTCGGGATTTATTTAATGGATCTGCCTTTTTAATTGAGATAAAAAATGAAATAAATCGTTCCTATCCTCTTGAAAATATCAAAATAATACCATAAATTGTATTGGTTGATTAGGGATTTGTCGAAGTTCTATAGCAACACTACCCGTATTTAAAGCAACTTCTGTTGTCCAACTTTCGGTCGGGATTCTAATTCAAATAAACAATATGTTTATTATTATGATAATATTTTCTTACGGATTATTATTACTTCCACCACTGATAAGTAAAAATGCCGTTTGAGAACGTTTGAGTATTTTCGGTACTGTAATAATCATATAATGCCACCAAATTGATCGTGATGAGAATGAAGCTTAAAATAAAATATTTATATTGATTAATATTTATACTCGAATTTTTATTAAGAATACCATTAAACCATTGCTGTGAAGTCATGTTGAGTATATGAATCGTATGTGTTGAATATGGAAAAACTTGAATACGTTTCCAAGTAAAAGCTGGATCAGGTTTATGAACATAATCATCAAGTGGAGTACAATAACTCTTATTTATAATCGAACCAATAATAATGAATAATAATACTATTCGATACATGCTTTTCGAAAAATGAAATTTTGATTATTTATGTAACACAATCGACTTTGAATTGAGTCTTGAAGAGATACTATTATTAATCTTTTTCATTTAAGCTTCAATTACTTTTTTTTTGCAATATATATTTACGATTTCATATTGATAGAAGCTTTATTTTCAAATCATATATCAAATTTCTGTTACATCCATCCTTTATATAGTTCGTTTGATGGTTTGTGCTTTATATAATTTATCGAAGAAAGTGAATATCTTTCAAGCATTGAGGGTGGGTGTGGGTGTGGATCGCTTTAAGGCATGGATATCGCTCATCCACACCCACTTCTTTTTGTTATTAATTTATTCTGGATGCACTTTATTTTTCATTCATCTTCACACCCACACCCTCACATTCATCATCACCCATAAGATCTTTTATAAGATCGAAATGCGTGTGACAATTTTTTGTTGTGACACACCCACACCCCTTAATATGCACAGTCGATTTTAAATTCCAAGTCAAGCCGAAATGACCCTCTCAAGTAGCTTGGACTTATTCTTGTATACTCACTCTCAATGTTTTGACAATCCGACTGAATGGTGTTGCAGAGAAATATTTTCTATCGAGTGTATTTTGTGAATATTCTTATGCGATCAAAAATACAAAAACCAAAAAAATTAAATGGTGAAAACTGAACAGTTTATGCTGATTTGCTCCGCTTGACGGTATGGTTCGTTCAAAATTAAATCGGTTATTCTTATCATATATACGTTTAATATTCATTAATCGCTGTTGATGCGTAGCATAATAAGCCTCCATCCAATTTGGTTCATCTCTATCGATGTAATTAATATATGAATGTTTTGTTGAATCATTGTAGGCAGCTAAATATACCTGATTCAACCAATTCAATTCTTGTACGTTGAGTTGTTGAGAACTGAAAGCCATGAACTGGATACCAAATTTATAATGTCTGTGTGGAAATGCTGTTTTATCCACTGGAATTGTGCTTAAGTAACCATCCATAGGCGTAAATTCCATAGCAAAACCATCATTACGTAATGATAATCGCTCAAGAAATTGATCGAGACTATAATCACTTATCGGTCGATCATAAAATAAATGTTTGCCTTTGAAATAGCTTCCTGAATGTGTCATATTCTCAAGTAACAGTTGCGCATGATTCTCATTCCTATTAACAAAAGTCAGTCAATCCGGTGTAACTATACTCATTTCATATGGAGGAGGTAACGTTGTTAAAAATAAAGATACAATCTTATTGAAGTCTCCTAACTTATTACCAAAACTAGTCATTAAAATCATTACATAAGTACTACGCACGTCCATTATTATATAGATGTTATTATTTGAATTCCATGCTGTCTCATTAAATAATATAGATTGATATCGTCGTATCACTAATTTTGTTGCATTCGTATACCATCTAGCTTGAAACATCGTCACAAGTGACGGAGCTTTAACTAATTGAAGTTTCAATTCTGTGACAATAACAAACAGACCTCCACCAGCACCACGCAATGCCCAATATAATTCTACTTCATGAGTTGCATTTATTGTTAATAATTCGCCTAAAACAAGTGATTGATATACATTTGAGAACGAAATTTAAAAGAACTTCACTTAACTACTCGTCAGACTCACAATATACGTGTTTAATCAAGATACACATTAAACAACTAATGATTGTACGTATCGATCACTTACACAGCGTATACAGATTATTGAAATTAGCTTACGTATTCCCTAAATTCCGGTTCATTTGAAACACGTTGAATTCATCTATTTTCTAAATATTCAAAACCACCTTATACAAAAAAGTAATGTGTAATTGAAAATTCTCGCGAAAATTTGCGTTGAATGATACATGATCAATGTTTCGAAAGAAATGGATTTCACCCGTCAGACCAAAATCTAGATGAAAAAGGTTTTTCCACATGCTCTATTCCATTATCAAAGCCTTCTTGATACATCTCTTATGAATAAAAAATGGATACTTTTTGTATGTAATGATTTTTGTTGGTATTTAAGATAAGCGGCAACACTAAATTATATCTACCCTCTGCGTTAACGGCTTTCAATTCCAAAACATTATCGGATAGTAATCCATGTAATCGAGAAAGAAGCCCTGCACCGCCACCAAGAGCCAGCCCAGTAATTCCCACCCATACAGAAGTTCCACCGTTGATTGTATAACCATCAGATTGATATGTTCTATAATATATTGGACCGTGTCTTGCACCGGCTCCAATTCTAGCAGTTCCATCACTTGCATCAATATTAATGTAATTGATTCCTGCCAAGTTGATGATGATATTGTTGTGCTCCGAACCTAAATTATAGCCCTCATAACTATGAGCCCCACTAGATGGATTTACAGTGTAGTTTAATTTTATGGCACATTTCACCACCTTTTGTATATCATTGCTGTCCGTAACATGGACAACAACAGCAGGCGAATGAGGAATACGACCTCCATTCTGAGCCGAAAGACTTTTGATATCGAAATAACCACATTGATATTGAGAGCTATTCTGATTTGTTGAAGTGTCACATGGATAAACAGTCCGTACGGACAATGGCAATGACGATGAAAGACATGCTTGTAATTCGTTGTTATTTGCTGTTACAAATTCGTGTTCCGCATGGCAAATTGTTATAACAAATATAGTTTGAAAAACATACAGTAACAAAATGAAGGACACGTTCAAACCAAATTTAATCATTATAATCTACAAAAGTAAATCACTTCTAAATTATCTTGAGGATGCGGGTGTGAATATAAGTGTGGATATTGGTTTAGTTTAAACAAACACCCTCACAGATCCTCCCGATCGATAAAGGTCTGTGAGGATCCGCGGATCCAGACTCTGCTTCTCCTCTCCCCTTGGCTTTAACTTTCTTTCTTGAACTTTAAACCTAGGGAAAAACAGCAGACTTCAAGACTTCATGCATGAAGTCTCTGTTGTTTTCCCCTCGCTTCTTCTCTATGTTTAGAAACTGAAAACACTTGATAAGAAAAAATTGTCTGTAACATGAAATATTCTTGATAAACCTGTGGCACTTACGCGACTGCAGAAGAACTGATTTCAACGATTACTTACCTGACCAATATATTGTGTTGAGGATACGAATAAAATTGCTTTGTATTCATCTTACGACAAAAAAGTAAGTTATAAATCCATTTGTTTTATACTATTCTTTTGAATTTTATTGTCTTTTACTTTTACTCATATATTAAAATAAAATATTTCATTTTTGTATTTAGAGGTTGATGGTGAGGGTTTGATGATATGAGTGTACGACGAGAAGAATGGTAAAACAAACTTTGTTCAAATAGAATGTCAAACTTCATTTCTTTGATAGAAAAATTGATTTATATGCCTATGCGATATTAATAAGATATACTAACATACTGATCATGTTTTTGTTATAAAAATGTCGTATAGAACGAGAATGAAAGAGTCAAGTGATATCAGTTGCACATTTAATTTATCTTATTCTGTTTCGAGTTGTATGGCAAATACCATTTATTGTTTTTGGGTATAAATTTATCAAAAGAAAAAAAGAGAAAATTAGATTTTAGTTACGATGAAAGTATTTTGGTTATTTATCATTGCAGTTCTGATCAAAATATGTGTGAACATATCTAAATATCTGGTATACATGAAAATCAAACTTGCAAATGAAAAAATAAATAAAAAAAGCATCTTTTTATGTTTAAGTTAAGTAAACATGTTTTGAAAATTCAACGAGAGTAAAAGAAGGATGTAGATCGGTCACCTGAAACTGCAAAATTAGGACCGTTTATTCGATTTTACAAAACCACGTTTTCAAAAATCATGGTTTCTCTCAAAAATATTTATTTTTGATAGACGGTATGTTGAAATACTTTATTTGATGTTTGACAAAAAAAACGAATAAGTAATACAATATAAAATATAAATACTGTTCACAATAACAAAAAAAGAAAAATATTTCAAATAGGATGAAATTCAATCAAAGATAAAACGTTTAATATTAAGTTATATGTCAGACGTGTCTTTGCTGTGCATTTGTATTAGTCGTATTCTGTATTGGTTGTTGTCGACGAAATCCATCAATCAAATGACGACGAAACAATTTACTTGATAATGTAAAAAAATAGAAACTCATACATGGACCAAAAAGAGCTATAAAATTTCCAATATTCACAGCAAATTGATCACGAGCTTTTACATAGTTATCTTTGACTATCAAATTGTTTGTTATAGAAACATAAAGTTGAATAATTGATAGAATAGTTGTTGTAATACTAAATACAAAACACTGAATAATTAACATTCGAATTAATTGTCGATCCATTCTTTTGTTATTTTCATGAATATTATTTTGAGGAACTGTTCTATTTTTGCTTTTATGAATATTTCGAATAGTTAATAAACCAGAAACTAACATTAAAATCGTTGGAATCCAACTCCAAAAAATCAAATTCCATATAGAAAAAAAAGCTCGATAACTACTTGTTGCAAAAGTACAAGATCGCTGTGGTAATAATAAAATGGCTTGATTGAAAGGATAATGAATATAAATAAGACAAATAAATAGAACAATCACTGGTATCATACGACAAGCAATACGAATACTACTCCATCCACGAAGTGTAGCAGATGGTGAACTAGCAAGAAATCTACAATGAAAATAAATCTAATTACTATGTTACAGAATGAATGAGAATCTAACAGATACATAATCTAGTTTGCTATCAAATAGATCGTGAGTTTATAAACTGTGTAGTAATATAATGAAAAATACTCACCGATCAATTGAAGCCATGGAAATAAACCAGACTGGTACTAGTCTAAAAGATAAAGAAATAATAATTAATTAATCAGATTTTTTTCTTATCGTATAATTAACCTTATCCATCCCAAAAAATATGATAATACTTGACATACGGGAAGTGAATATATAAATATATCGATGCCATATCCAAGCTGAAGCATTCGTATTGGAACAACAATACACACATTCATACTACCCGATATAGCCGATGCCAGAAAATAACGTATGCAAGGATTAGAACGTAATGCAGATCGTGTGAAAACATAGATACTTAATAAATGACCCATTGTACCAAAAACAATCAGGAAAATGCAATATACTTGTGAAAACAGTATTAAGCTTTGTTGAAGACCATTAATTGCATCAGTCATACTCGTATCGGACGCTGACATTTTCAGATGAAAAGTAACTCAATTCTATAGATCTTTTTTCTAAAAAAAATATTATTTGAAAAACCTGTGTTTTTTTTTCTAATAGTATTGTAAAAATTGGTACATGAGTATGAATATTTCTCCTTTATCTCACTTTATCCTACTTTCAATTCAGTATTTCATAAAAATCTTGATACTTCTCTTAGAAACATAGAATAGTATTACAAAGTATAATCTCTTTTTTTTCCATTTATTTAGTGAAGTAAATATAACTAATTGCATGTTCTCTAATTGTGAAAAGCAACCATCTGGCACGATTTTTTAAAATAAGTAGCAACAATTAATTTACGCTCAGTTTATTTCATACAAAACTGAAGCACGTCATTTCTTTTTAATTTTTATTCTTAGATCGATGTATGTCGATATGACAAAAGATGAATTTAGAAACTAACGTGTTAATTATCTAACAGTTGTTTTGCATGATTTAGATGTGTCGTTCAATTGGAGAATTGGTGTTCGATTAATTCGATATAAAACCCTTTAATATTTCTCTAGATTAAAACTAGTTAAAAATTCTTTGATAGTAGTTTCTACATATATTTGAGATATAAAAAATAATTCTATTGCGTAGAAGAAATTTAAAATAAATAAAGGGATCTACGGTGTCAAATATAATACATTATAATGTTTAATTAAAGGATAAATATAAATCTGACTAGAAACATTGAAAATAATTTTGTGATAAAAGTTTTTGCTTTAATTATTTTTTTTAGTTCATATCATTTCCTATGAATATGGTAGATTTAACGGCAAATATTTTCTGAAAAGTATATTCGTCTTTTTTACTCCGCATTTTATTTTCGCATAATAATAATTTATGCGTTGAAAATTATAATTAATCACAGTTGTTGTTTTTTTTGCCATGAAAATATTATTTTGTGCACGAATGCATTTTATTTTCTACTTTTTTGTTTCATTTATTATAATAAACAATGGAGTAACGTTTGATTTAATAAGACATTTATAGACATAAAATAATATTTTCTTATGTAATTCAAATAAAAAATCATATTTTCATGATTGAGCATGTATTTTCGACAGGAATATGAGTTTGAGAATATTAGTCTCTCAATATATCAATACTAGTAAATAAGTAACTATGTTACAGACAGCTCTTGTTTTTTTTCTATACTTCCATTTATGAGTTAGTTCAGAAATAGAGATTTGTAGATACAATCACTAACTTTAATGTTTAAAAGTTTAACGACAAATCTTTTATGATATTACTTAATACTTGTATGATCAAAAAATTAAAAAAAACAGATTTTTAAATATAATAATCAATCGCTGACACAAATAAAATGGGATATTATATATAAAACAGATATTGATGAAATGGCAGTGAAATACCAATAGAAAGAAAAATAATAATGAAAAAAACGTCGTATTGTTTTGAACTCCATTGATGACAGATATAAGATAGAATGAGTGTAGATTTGAATGGGATATAAATACGATACCCACACTCACATCTCTAGTATGCATATATTTTGTACGATATTAACCAACAACTATAATATGATACTTTATATAAAGAGTAAAAAAACCTTTTCTTCTATTTGAATGACACAGTATGTCGCAGAACGAATAAAAAATATTGACTCAACAGAAAGATTGTGAAATAACTGACAATGTGCACCTATATCATTTCGTATTCAACAGACGAAGCAGATGGCGTTATTACCATCTACTTTCGAAATATTGTCTGATGAAATTCTTATGATTATTTTCCGATATTCTGGCAATGTTACTTCAGTTTTTCACATGTTTTGTGGTTTGAATCAACGTTTTAATCGAATTCTTGTCGATCGACGTTTACATCTCTTCACTGATTTTTTATGTATCAACAATCGACAACTCACCTTTAATTATTATTATGATACTCCATCAATTCATACGTTATCGAAACAATTATACTCGTTACAAGGTAATAATCATATACACCAAATTGATCAATGTTTTCAAAGATTAGTCAGCTTTCATATTGAAGAAAAATCTCGTCAACTCGAAGATCAATTTCGATCTGATAGAGAACAATTCCGTTTGATACGTTATAATCTCGCCGATGAAGAAATTCACTCTCGAGATGCAGCATTAAAGGAAGCCTTCAATAATTTAGAATCACATTCACACAATTCTCAATATCTTCAACAAGCCGTGGATCTTGTTGTTGGTACTGGCGCTCGTCTCGAATGTAGTGATAATCATCTAGACGGATACAACTTGGCTAAAGCACTCAATGAATATCTATTATCTCATCTCTATACCGTTGGATATCCGAATGGATTATGTCTTCATTCAATTTTGAGATTATTCAAAGCATTGATCGTTTCCAATCCAAATCTAGTCTACAATAAAGACTGTGTGCGTAACAGTGTTTATCCCATGTATTACTTTCTCGTTTATGCAGTCTTTCGACTACAACACTTCTATCGTAATTTACGACCAATGGCGATAAGTATGCAAAAATATGATACGATATTAGAATTATTATTATTCACCATTCAATATTTAAAGGAAGTTTCTGATGAGGAGTTGTGGATAAAGAATTGTCTTTTGAATAGTTTACAAGTGGTTACTTCGAACGAAAATGATGTAGATGGAAAGATTTTTATTCAGTGCAGTCAAATGGAAGTAATAAAAATGTTCTTTCAGGAAATTAATCGAAAAGAAACACGAGTGAACGATTATTCAGATTATATGTTACATAATGGGTTGAAGAATTTAATTATCACTAATCGAATTGATATTATACAATATGTTTTTCGTCAGAATAACTTCATGCAAAATTTTCTTATTCAATCAGATCATTCTCACAAACTGATTGATACAATACTTGGAAGGCAAAGCAGCCGAAAAATATTTCAGCATTTTCTAGATGAGAAGCCACCGGAATTATGGCTTACAAGTACGAAACTATTATTTATTCTATTGGATAAGAAAGAATGTAAATGGATCAAAAAATTATTACGATTAGATTCAAGACTAATTCACAAAGTGGATGAAGATGGTAATGATCTATTACTTTATGTTTGTCTTAAAGTAAACGGTTGTCGACATCGTCTGATCGAATACTTAATTAGTATGGGATGTGATATATATAAACAAAATGTTCATGGTGAACATTTCTTTCAAGCTATTCAACTCAAAAGAAACAGAAAACTACTGAAACAGCTAATTGAACATGAAATCATCGTAAGGGAGAGCGAATCTGGAGGGTGTGAGTGTGGATGCGTATTATATTTGTCTTACAAACTCACATTGACTACATGCATACTCCATACCTCAGACGAAATGCGCAATCTTTATAATGAAAAAGAAGACTTATAGATGATTGTATTTTTCTTTTCGATAATAATTCTTTGTAATAATATATATACGGTTCTGCATAAAAGTAAAATCAATCAACAAAGGATACCTTACTCTTTTTTTTACTTAATGAATTGAATTGTGCATCGATATAAGACGCAGAATAAAATGAATTGAATAGAAAAAGACTGAAACATCGACGATGATTTCTTCACAAGTCTACAATTCTCAGCAAAGTGATTGGTCAACACCGTCATTTCCACTGGTAGTTTCTGGAAATATACAAAATACTTCTACCGACAATCCCGACCTGACCCGTGTCGTTCAAGGTCATTCTACAATTTATTCAAAAACAAAGTAAGTCTATCAACAGATCTTCTAAACAATAAATAGACTATCTTATTATAATCTATAAGATCGAACTTATCATGCAAACTATTGCAATGGTGGTCATCAATACCATCACTTTTACAAGGTATGATATTAGGAGTATCAGTTGGTTGTATAATATTAGCTATTATATTACCGCTATGGCTGATACAGCCATCAAAAACAACAACAGTAACACCAGGTATGTGTATTAAAACTATTTGTTTTAATTACGTTTATTCTTTATATAGTAAACAAGCCTATTCTACGTTGGAATACTACAGGAATTACAGTCGCTGGTTATGGAAGTGTAAGTGGTACTAGTTCTTATTATTTAAATACACCCTGGGATGTAGCATTAGATTGGTCTAATACCCTTTATGTATCTGATCGATACAATCATCGAATACAAAAATTTCTGATGAATACAAAGAACGGAACGACAGTAGCAGGTCAAATGAATGCAACTAGTGGTGCAACGATGGATGAGCTTAATCAACCAACGGGTATTTATCTTGACATAAATGGCAATATCTTCATATCGGACACAGTTAATAATCGAATTCAATATTGGTCTAATGGAGCTGTGACGGGTCAAACACTCATTGGGAATGGTAAGAAAAAATAACCGTAATTTCGAGCGATTTTTCAAGATCGTTAATGATATATTTAATTTTCAATAGGTATTATCGGATCTCAAAATAATTTGTTGTATAATCCTTATGGAATATGGTCTGACGCAAGCGCAGGCATAATTTACGTAGCCGATAGTTATAATCAGCGAATTATGCGTTATAAAAACAATTCACAATCTGGTGATATTATTGCAGGTGGTAATGGATTTGGATATGGCTCTACACAATTAGGATTTCCTTACGCTTTTCATTTTGATTCATTTTCAAACAGTCTTTTAATTGCTAATGGGGGTAGTCATAATATTGTTCGTTGGATTATAGGTGCAAGCAATTGGACTATTGTCACTGGTAGTATGAATGGAGCCTCCGGCAATAATGCTACATTGTTAAATGTCCCTACTGATATAACTCTCGATCCAATGGGTAACATGTATGTAGCAGATATGTTTAATCATCGAATACAGTTTTTCTTATCTGGTCAATCAAATGCTGTGACCATTGCGGGTACGGGTGTGGGTGGTTCTACATCTACTGAACTGTATTATCCTTCTTCATTAACATTAGATAGTCAGCTTAATTTATATGTTGTTGATCAGAATAATCATCGAATACAAAAATTTGTACGCTATTAAAAATAATTGTTTCGTAAAAAAATCTTTGATATTAACAAATTTATCTTAATTTTATCTATATGAAACGATAAAGAAAATCATAAATAGGGTGTGGATGAGTATTCTATTTTTTCTTTTTCATCCACACTCTCACGATGACGTAGAAAAGAAAATTCTTTTTGTTTATCCTATATAATTATAGTTTGACTTATATATCCGATATAAATCCGTGCGTAAAATGAGATTTGCACGACGCTTTGTTAATTAACAAAGGTAATATTAGGTTCTTTCCGTAATTGGAGTATATTAAAAACAAAAGATTTTTTAATAAATATCTTATCAATGACGTGAGAAGTCATTTATCTCGAACAAATGTGGACAACAACTGATTTTATTATATTCCAGAAAACATTTTTTAGTGTTTTAGTACCAATTATAATTATTATTGGTACAGTCGGATCTATTCTAAATGTAATCGTATTTTCCGTTAGTAAAAAACTTCGTTCAAGTTCATGTTCACTTTATTTAATATTTGCTTCGATTACTTATGCTGTATATTTAAATACTGTTGCACTATTAAGATTACTTCAAGTTAGTTACAATATTGATCCAGCTTCACAATGGTTATGGTTTTGTAAATTAAGATATTATTCTGTTGGAATTTTATTAATGTTACCTCGATCATATATGTTATTAGCTGCTATTGATCGGTAAACAAATCTTTTATTTTTAATAAAGATAATTAAAAATTAATTCATTGTAGATATTTCATGAGTAAATCACGTCAACATCGTTTTTTGTCGTATCGTATTGCATTGAAAATGATTGTATTAACATTTTTCTTTTGGTTGATTGTATGCGTTCATTTCGTGATTTTTTATAATATTAAAATCTCTTCAAATGGAACAAATTATGTTTGTTCAAATCCACCTGGTTCATATTCAACATTTCTTAGTTTTTATTCAATATTAATAAATGGTATTTCAATACCATTATTAATGACAATATTTGGTTTATTAACACTTCATAATCTTAAACATTATCGTAATCAAATTCATAATAATTTTATTATTTTAGTACAACGAAGGAAGAAAGAAGAATGGTCAATACTTCGAATGATTCTAATACAACTCATTGTTAATGTTATTTTATCATTACCAGTAACTATTTATTTATTTTATAATGGTTTAACGCAATATGTTGAAAAATCATCGCTTAGAAATTTTATTGAAAATTATATTTATAATATGTTTACTCTCCTACCATATATAAATGCAGCTGTAAGTGACCTTATTATTCTGAAGATTTAATAAAATCTAATTTTTAGGCATCTTTCTATGTATATTCATTAACTTCTCGGACATTTCGTAAGGAATTATGTTATCTTACTATTCATTTTTCAACATCGATAAAACAAAGTATAATATATCATTCAAGAGCATTATTTACTCATTCGTTTACACCATAAAGAAATAGTATTTTTTGTTGTTTGTATACTTGTTCGACATTGTAAACTCAAATATAAATAAATACAATACACTTTTTTTTCTTGAATATATATTTTCAATATAGTGCATTTTATTTTACTTGAAACAACTTGAATAAAAGAACAAGATGTCCTCTTTTGCACCATGAAAACGCGTTCGTAATATATCCTTCAATGAATCTTCATGTGTCTCTTCTCATGAGATTAAGTTCAAAGATATATTTTTAACGTATTTTCATTAAATAAATAGAGAGTCGAGTTTCTTGTCAGAGATGCTATTCTATGCTTTCATATTATAGAAAAAGATCAACGAGTGATACTATTCTCATGTAAAAAATTTAATTATTTTTCTTTTCAGTATATATAAAAGTTCATATTGTTTTTACTTGTCAATGTCCAACACAACATCTATTAGTAGCGCGATCGTTGATCCATCTAATCAAATTAAATATATTATCATGCAAACCTTTCACATTCCATCTATTATTTGTTCTATTTTCACACTCACTCACTTACTATTGAATCGACAACTTCGTTTAACTCTTTATAATCATACATCATTGGCTCTACTAATTATTTCAATATCTGATTCGTTTCTCAATACTCCGTTTACCTTGAATTATCTGCGTACGAGTCGCGTAGCACCATCAAACAATGTAATGTGCATTTCTTGGAATTTTTTCAATGCACTATTTGCTACTTCAATCTATTGGACGATGGCATGGAGTTGTATGGAAAGACATTTACTCATTTTTCATTCTTCCTTATTCGCCACTTATCGTAAACGAATACTGTTTCATTATATTCCTCTTTTCGTAATGACAATTATTTATCCGATACTAGCTAACGTTGTAATTATTCTTCTCTATCCATGTGTAAATCAATTCAATATGCTGTCGCTCTACTGTGGATATGTATGTGCA